GGATCTGAAGCCAGGCTCTGCGCTAACAGCAGAAGCTCCATGCAGGGCTTGAATTCACGAACTGCAAGACCATGACCTGAGGTGAAGTCAGGCACTTAACCAACTGAGCCACCCAGTTGCCCCAAGAGTTCATTTTTATATACATAAGATAATGCCAAGAAGTGGCTTGATATGAAATGCATTATTTTCTCATAAAGAAAAATTACTTGCTTGTTGCTCAAGGTCTTCAGTGTATTTCTTAGCTTTTTGTTCCCTCTCTGTTGCTTGTTTTACAAGCTGTTTAAGATCAGTAAGGTTTTGCGTTTTTTTGGCAATGTCAGTTTCCAATTCTTTCAGCTTGGTTTCATACATTCTAAAAGGAAAGAAAAAATAGTGTACACATGGAAATAATTCATTGATTTAAAAGCCAGTTCAAGTCATTGCACTAAAAATAACAGAGTATCTTACACTGCTTCTTCTATTCAAATCTTTTACTGCTGCATATTTACTTAGCATTAGGTGACAACAAGGGATAAGTACCCCTAATTAACAAGCCAATTAAAATAGAGGATTTAGGTGTTTCCCGAGGTTATAAACAAGGATGGAGCCTGTTTGATCACTAGCAAAAAGATTACAATTAGTTTTTTTTCTTTTTCAGTCACAAACCAAAAAACTGCAATTCATCAGATTATCAAATTCTGTATTATTGGGTAGTCTCAGAAATATACTTAAAGATCACAAACTAAGCAGTTCACACATCTATTATGTATACCTGCATAGAAGCATACAAAAAAAGGTACCCAGGTAGAGCAAAACCAAAAGGACACTATTGGGAGAGGAAAAATATGCAAAAGCATGGGTGAGAAAATGGCATATGACAAAATCTGAATAGATCTGTAACCTTTAAAGAAATGACCAATAATTTAAAAAAATCTAGACTCCAAAAGGAAATTTTAAAACATTGAGCCAAAATGATTTTTTTTTTTATTTTTATTTTTTAAATTTTTTTTTTTTTCAACATTTATTTATTTTTGGGACAGAGAGAGACAGAGCATGAACGGGGGAGGGGCAGAGAGAGAGGGAGACACAGAATCGGAAACAGGCTCCAGGCTCTGAGCCATCAGCCCAGAGCCCGACGCGGGGCTCGAACTCACGGACCGCGAGATCGTGACCTGGCTGAAGTCGGACGCTTAACCGACTGCGCCACCCAGGCGCCCCATAGCCAAAATGATTTTAAAAACATATCATACCACCTTAAAGGGAGACAATGCTTATAATATTCAAAGTTTCCCACAGAAAAGAAAAAGAATGCATTAGCAACAAAATCAGGTAAGGACATTACCAGGAACAGAAATTATTATTTCAATACATTCAAATGGTTTTGTTTTTGTTTTTTACATTTATTTATTTTTGAGAGACAGAGCACAAGTTGGGAGGGGAAGAGAGAATGAGACACAGAATCCGAAGCAAGCTCCAGGCTCTGAGCTGTCAGCACAGAGCCCAACGCGAGGCTTGAACTCACTAACCGTGAGATCATGACCTGAGCCAAAGTCAGACGCTTAACCGACTGAGCCACCCAGGCACCCCTCAAACAGTTTTTGGTAAATCTGAGAAACCATGATCAGAGAGGAGTGTTCTTAACCTGACAGACTCCACCGAAGGGATGAAATACCAGAAGCTTACTCCTTCACTTCATTCAATTCTCTGCTCAAGTGCCACCCAATCTTCTCTGATCACCCCGTATATAATAGCTGCGGCATCACCCGGCCTGTCTTAGCAGTCAGTATAAGGACTGATGACAACAGATGGCATTGGTCTGTTGAGTAAATAGAACATCTATGAAGACTGCAGCATGGGAGAGATCTAATGTGTCAAGGGTCCCAGAAGAGATCTCTAAACACTTCACTGAGGTGGGTGTATAATGCCAGCTGCAGATCTTAAACAAGTTTTTTTTTTT